GTAAGACTTGTTTTGAGAAGTGCATTCAATAGACTTTGCCATGTGTTTGTAGGATTGGGACTTGCCTTGACCCCGACGTTTGAAGAACTATGTGAGTGGTATTTTTATAAAGCTATGTTATCAATGTTTTGATGAACTTGCTTTGCTTTGTTTTGAAAAGTATTTGTTAAGCATGAATGATTATCCCTATTTTGTATACCAAGTATTATCTTGTTTTGATGATATCTTGCTTTGAAAGTCCTTAGTGCCAGGGGACTATAATGCAACGCACATCTGTTTTGGAAGTCCTTAGTGCCAGGGGACTATAATGCGACTGCACATCTTGTTTTGAAAGTCCCTTGTGTTGGAGGACTCTAAACTTTCGTAGTACTCTCGTGTTAGGGGGCTACGGGCCTTTGTAACATAGGTCCTTTGTGCTAGAGGACTCTAAACTTTTGCAGCACCATTGTTTGAGATATCTCCTTTGCTTTGTCTTGTTTTGCCACTGACGGTTTATCGCGTGGGTTTGCTTGTCCGGAATGTCACCATTTGTGATATGTTAATGCTAGTAAGCATCCCTTGAAGCTTTAAAGATTTTCTAGTTGGACGAGGTCCATCCCTTGTTATATAAAATTTTGATATGTGTCGTTTTGAAAGGATTTCGGCCATTATTCATGCAGACCCCTTTATTATTTATATCATTCACTGAGTATCCAAGCTCACCCTCTCCATATATATGTGTAGGTGATGAGCAAGAAGGCGATGACGCCTAGAAGTGATTCGTGAGCTTGTTTGGGATTTTTGCCTATGTCGGCTTAACTTGTATTTACGTCAGCTTGACTTGTATTCATGTCGGCAGTCTTGAAAATTATGCTTCTCGACTTGTAATACTTATATTTCGCATACGTCGGCTTGAGAAGCCTTTTGGTCAAGATGTAATTTGTACTTTACCTCATTTGTAACTAAGTTGTAACCCATGTAAAGATGTTTGCCATTTCATTTGACTTACGCACAGCTCTTATGGACTAATCTGATTTGTATGTATTGCTTCCGTACTTGTGAGCCCCATATATTTATACTCTATTGTGTGTGGATTTTTGAAAGTTGGCCATCGGTAATCTCGGATTACTGGCCATCACGGCACCATAACTACTAGGGGCGGTTTGGGATCGTGACACGTGTTTTCTCAAAAATCTGTTTGGCAGAGCAAGAATGGTTCGGGCGTGCTTACCAAGACCGAAGTGGTCCGAATGTGCTCGCTCTGACCAAAGTTGTTTGTCATGTTTCTCTAACATTGTCTGGCTGACCAAGCATTGTATGACCTTACTTTTCTCAAAAGGTTTCCCTATCTTCTTATTAGTTCCGGCTTTTTAAGCTCACTTTTTTGAAAAATAAGTCAACACCTTTTGGAAATATAATGCTAAGAAATAAATGACAATGTACTATTTGCCTTAAAAACATTTCAAAAAATATAGGTTTGAAGGTCTAGAAAACTCATTGGCCAAAACAGGTAAAGGAAGGTTTGTCTCTTTTCATCCATCACTTGTGCTTAAAATGATTTCGCTTTCATCATCAGGAGCTTCGAGTCAGAGCCCCAAAGTCTTAGTGCCTTTCAAAAATAGGGTGTCTATAATAACAAACAAGCATACCACGTAAAAGCTGCTCTAGTCAAAAAAATAAGGAACATTCTAAGTTTTAAGCAATCCTTACTTGCAAATTTCCCTCATTGTCCAATGAACCTTCAACGTGTTCAATGGTTGACTGGTTTCCACTTACTGAGAATAAAGTAATAAATCTGAATCCCTTTAAGAATTCATACAACCTATTTACCTACTCAACATATTGTCTTATATATACTAGAGATTGTACCCCTACGAGCCATAGTTCCATAAACGTCTTGTCTGAGACCAATAATTTGATCTATTGGTAAGGTAGGTGTTGCAACAACCATTGATGGTTGTTCGAGCACTGGAGGTGGGATATTTTCCATCATTCTTGGTTTCTCGTTAACAGGCCTAATTGGTTTCTCCCACCCTTGAGTCCTTGTTTGAATGCTTGATTATTTGCTAACCTTGGAGATAGTCTTACTATAGTATTATTTCCTCCCAAATTTGGCTCATGTGTAGGGTAATTAGTCATTTTGCTTATACCATTCCAATGGAGGCATTACCTTATAATAAAATTTTCGTCGGTTTTCAAGACCACAAATTCTTCTTTGAGAGATACTAGAATGTTGGCTTTTTCCGTTGGCCATCTCCAACCATATGTTGGCAATGATCCTCTCTATTATCTCCATTCAGTCTTTGTTGACATGGTAGCAAGTTATTCTCTATCTTCTGGAGAAATGGTGACTAAGGCGGTGTTACCTCTCCAACAAATTAGTTGCCAAATTATCAACATAACTTATTAGTTGTTGGCCAAGTTGTTTTATAATCGGCCCTATCTAGAATAAAACTTAGTTTGAAACCACATTTAGGTTAGAAATTTTATGATTTTACTAGCCAATATTATCACCAGCCTATCTATTACTATTTTAAGGAAACTTTCTTGTTCAAGGCATTTATAGCGACCTTTGGTTCTCTCCCTACATCTTGCACATTGTTAAAAATATAACTTCTTATTATCTCTTTGTCCTTGTCATGGTGCACTAGAAAGTGTGTCCTATCCGGTGTGCTAAAAAAATGTTGGCTTTGAAATGTCTTTGAATGGCATAATTGTAATTTAGGCAAGGTAGAAAAGGTTGAACAACACCTTTTTAGATTTAAACCTAAGCCAATTAAAAAATAGGTGAATGTCTTAACAGTTCTTTTGTCTCAATGTGCCAACATGGAGGACAAGTAATACATAATTCAAAGTAAAAGGAAAGTAAAAGGAAATAAAGTGAAAAGTAATTGAATTAGTGAGCAATATAATTACTAAAAGAGAAGTTAGAATTGATTGAATGAACAATACAATTTCAAGATCACACTATCTTGCTGCTCCTACTCATATCTTTAAAGTTACTCATACGGTTATAAGAATCGAATCCACTCCTAACTAGTGAGAACTACTGCTAAGAAAATATAATAATAAGTCTAGATTTTTAATCTAGAGGTTCATTTCTCCTTCAATTAGCCTTCTATTTATAGGCACAATGCTTCAACTACTCACTACAACGTATTCAGGTTTTTGAGACAAAAAAACTAAGGACAAAATCATTTTTCAGGGATGAAATGTTGTATTTTTAATAATGAAATTGGACATTTAGTGAATAAGTCTAGATTTTTAATCTAGAGGTTCATTTCTCCTTCAATTGGCCTTCTATTTATAGGCACAATGCTTCAACTACAACGTATTCAGGTTTTTGAGACAAAAAAACTAAGGACAAAATCATTTTTCAGGGATGAAATGTTGTATTTTTAATAATGAAATTGGACATTTAGTGATGAACAACTATCCTTTTGGTACAAGTTTTCTCTCTCTCTCTCTCTCTCTCTCTCTCTCTCCAAAAGTAAACATATTGGCACCAAATTAAGTTACCCCTACAAGTGCATTTTTAACAACAATTTCAAAATTCTGTTGCTAAAAGCTATTTTTTTTGACTTTTGGGATGACCTTTAAGTGACAACTTTCATGATGACAGGAATTGGTCCCCAAATATTTTTTGCAACAAAATTTTCACTTTTGGGGACAAAAAATTTTGATTCCTAAAACTTTTATAAGGTTGTAGTGGCTTGTGATCGCTTACAATGACCCATGATATTTCTTTCCTTCTCAAGCGTTGACTTGTTTTGTCGTTTCTTTCCCTCATTTGTTGTTCCAGTAATGGTCCTAGTGTCTCTTGCATTTCAAGAACCTGCACATTCTTTTTTCTTAGCTCCTATAACTGCCCATGACCCATGGATGTTCATCTTCTTAGGATTTTTGTGGACTTGTTATGTGTTAGATACTCTCTTCAAATTCTCTCCAGATTTGCCATTTTAACTATGAAAAACTATTTTGCACCCATTGCTACACAATAATTGGCTAATCAATTCAACGATTGTAAACAAATTGAATATATTCCAATGCGCATAAATCTTTATAACTACCGGCCACACTTGTTTATACTACCATTGAATGGGTCCCAATCGCTACTTATTTTCCAGTTAGTTGGTTTGGATATCGACTAGGGTGTCGGGTTTGGTGTTTATTGTCTAGAGTGGTGAAAGTGAGTAGACCAGTGGTATAGATCAAAAGAATGGGTAGAAGAGTGGCAAAAGCGGGCGGAGAAGGGGCAAGGCTAGCCACAATGGGTGAGAGAGGACTAGGATGCGGGGAGGTGGTTGGGGATAGTGAGGAAGAATGGAGGAAGTGATGGCAGTGATAGAAGAAGTGGCTAGGGTTATTTCCAGAAGAAAACTAAAAGAGACAAGGGTAATTTCATAATTCTACCAAAAGATTCCATATTTTTGTAATTATTTTTGGTTCTTCCACTTGTGATGTAATATTTGAAACGTCCCATCGACTGGTAATAAATTACCTCATTTCCCATTGGATGTTGTATGCCCAAAATTCTATAATAGACACCGCTTTTTTGGGTATATATGTAAATATCACTTTCTCTTATACCTAAGTTACATTCATTCATAACTGAAAACACCACAATGAATCACAACCAATGACCACTTTAGTCATAATAAAAAAACAACTTCATTAGGTCATAATCATGATCATAAACCATAATGACTTATAACTAAAAAATATTTTCAACAATTATAGTGAGCCATAACTGTACATTACTTAACTCATACTAAGATCACAAAAGAATTATAACCAGATATATTGTACATTCCACTCCAAAAAAAAGAAAAAAAAGAGTATGTGTATTGTAGAATGTCTCATAGAAAATAGATAGATAGATGAGGTAATCTTTAAATGCCAAACACTGATAAAAAAGATAGACCATTTCGAATTTAATTCGCTGATATTGAACCAATAAATGATGCAAAACAACCTATATGATAAAAGAAAAAGAAAAAGACGTTATGATGCAAACTCACAAAGCGACCAACGACTTCATTTGACTAAAGAAAGTTGGTATGTGTCCACCCAATAAGTTATCATCAAGGACACTGTTCATCATAGATAGCCAATGTTAGTGTATAAAACCTTACATGCATCATAAATGTTAAATTACCCAAACATGTTAATTTTTATTACCCATAGCATTGTTAGGGTTTTACACATTATGACAATGATGATCTTAGTTAGGTATGGAAAAATATTTAAAAATTAAATTGAAATTAAATACGCTTCAGCATGATTACACAACTTACATAGTTGAAAGCATGGACAAATTTTGTAACCAAGGTGGAATCTTACTAATCCTGTTATCATCCAAATACCTGTGGCAACAAAATTAAATGAAAATAATTAAATAAAATTTCATTGATGATTCCATATAGTAGAGTTGCCACTTCTGAAAGAGAAAAAAATAAAAAAGAAACGAAATAAATAACGAAGAGAAAGAATTGTTGCCAATCAAAAGATACATTAAACGCCATATGTGTCATGCATTTCACTGTCTTCTCGTTCAATGGAGCTAAGACCGTTCAGGGGTACAAAAATGTGCATGATGAGTTCATCACGGTGTAAAGGTAAAATTAAGCTAAATCACGTCATACAAAATGATGGTACTTTGCTTAGCTTGTAAATTGACTTATTTGTTTTTGCTTTTAGCAAATTTTTTTTGGAACTTTGAGTCAATTTGTCTATACTTTATAAGTTGGTCCAAACAAGAAGATCTTACAAATTAAAAATAATAAATTATTTTTGAAAAATAATGCTGAAAGCAAAAATTAGACTAACTTTTAAAGGTTTTTTTTTTTTTTGGGTCTTATTTTTGTTAGCTTTTTCCATCGACTTTTCCCAAAATGTTTCCAACCTTTTAAGGATATGTTTTCTTCTTTTTTTTTTTAATAATAGCAACTGGTTTTATGAAAATAAATACAAAAAGAATTTTTTTTAATCTTTAGAAATTATTTTCTTCCCAAAATAAGGGAGAATCATACATAAATGATTAATTTTTTTATTTTTCATTTTATTCACTAAATTAGTTCGTAGATTCTCTGGGAAAAAGATGAAAAAGAAGAAGGAAAACATAATTTAAAAATCAAACCAATCAAGCTGAGAGGTTTTTCATTAAAAAAATAATTATTTTTTCATGAAGGTTAAGGAATTGGTGAAATTACCTAACAAAGAGTATATGAAGAAATATAGATTTGAGACTACATGCGCTCTTCCATCATCTGTTTTTGTCAACACAAGTTTATTTGAAATTCGATGGTAATAATTTATGAAAGCAGTTAATCTTCATAAAAAAATACATAATAATAAGAACCATGTTAGAATGTTAAATTTTCCTAATGACACTACATTGTCTGCATTTCATGTGCTCTATGCAAAATTAACGAAGAAAACTATAAAAATGAATTGTGGAATTCTAACACTTCCAAAATTTTGAAATTAATTAATGCATTAATTTGACATAGTACATAAGCTCCGTTTGGTAGAGTTGTGGGAAAGTGATTATAGATTATAGCTTAACAGATTATAACTTACAGCTGTGAACATAAGCTGGTAATTTGTTTGGTGCAGCTATGGGATTATAGATTTAAGCAGCAGAGTAGTATTTGGTAAATAAGCTATAAAATAGCTTTTTTCTGTATAATTGTCATTTTTGCCCTTATAAGATATAAAATTTGTGATTTCATTTTTAATACATTTTTTTCTTTTTCTTTTTCTTTTTCATTTTATTTTCGTTTCTTTTCTTTTATTTTATTTTATTTTTCTTCTATTCTTTCTTTGTTATTTTTTTTTAATTTATTAATTCATTAAAATTAATATTCATATTCTAATTTATATTAATGTTGTGATTTCATTACATATTATCTTTCACATATTCATTATCAAAATTATTAATTTTTTTCTTTTCTTCTTTCTCTGTATTTCTTTTCTTTATTAGTATTATTAATTGTGATTTTAGTATAAAAATTATCATTGCTCATCAATTATTAAAATTAGTATCAATTATTAATTATTATTATTATTAATTTGTTCATCAATTATTAAAATTAGTATCAATTTGTCCATCAATTATTATTATTATTTTTGTCATATTATTATTATTCTTTATCAATTAGTATAAAATTAATGACTTAATTAGCATCATTGTTTTCATTTTTTATTATTTTGTTTTGTTTTCATTAATAATACCAAAGTATCAATTATTTCAATTAATGTTGTGAGAACAATTTTCATTAACAGTACCAATTGTTTTCATTAATATAATTGATTATTTTTGTTTTTAATTTTTGTTTTTAATTGGTAAAGAAATTACCAAATAAATTTATTTTTGTTTTTAATTATTATTTTTATTATTTTGTTTTTAATTATTATTTATTGATATTAATCGAAATAAATTTATTTTGATTGATTATTTTTGTTTTTAATTGGTAAAGAAATTACCAAATAAATTTATTTTTGTTTTCAATTTCTATTTTTTTTTCTTCTCTTCCTTCCTCATGAACCATCTGTACGCCGATGGTCTGAACCCTAGCCACCACCGCGATCTGGAGCGGCAGAGAGGGAGTGCTGTCGGCCTGAACAACCACCGCCTGAGCAGAGAGAGAGAGAGAGAGACGACGGCCTAAACAACCACTGCGATGTAGGGTTTTGAGATCGCGATGACGGCGGTGGATCCAGGCTGTCGATTGATCGAGGCTGTCGATTTGCCTTCAGATCACGATCACGATGCCTCTCTAGGGCGATGATTGTCACACTCTCATAGATCTGAATCCGAACACACACACAGAGAGAGAGAGAGAGGGCGTTGGGGTTTCAGAGAGCTAGGGCTGGTCGGAAATCGCCTCCCTTTCACAGGAAATCGCCTCTCAGAGGCGTGAGAGAGACAGAAACGAGTTGTATTTGGTTTATATAGTGGCACACTAGTAATAACTTGAAATGTTGAGGGGCATTTAAGTCATTATACACCTTGAGGCTCAGCTGCGCGCATAATCAGTTTGGAAAAGCACCTTTTAGCCAACTTAACGGATTATGTGTGAAATGGCTTAATTTAAGCCATAATTCATCCCTCAAAATTTTTACCAAACACTCTAATATGACTTATTTTAAGCTATAAGTTGATTTAAGCTGTAAATAAGTTCTTCCAAACGCCCACATAGTCATATCAAGGGAGAGTAAGAAAAATTTATTGAGTGTCGAGAAGGTGTCACATGTCATTGCTCTAATGACTTGTATGAATTACCCTAAACAACAATTTCATCATTTCATGGAACGAAGAAGAAAGTGAAAAAGCATTTTTTGGCCTCAAAACCCTGCATTTTAGCTCTGAATTGAACTTTCCTCTTAAAAAGAATGTCTACATCTATTTCACGATCAAACTTCAAATTATAAAGCAAGGATTAAGTAAGCCAGTTGAGCGAAATAGTAGAAAATACCCTTACAAATCAGTAAGAGAAGTAAGGTTTCCAATTTCGCGTGGTATTTCTCCTTTCAAACCAGCACTGGATAAATCACTGCAACACAAAATATAATTACATGTACAACAATACTAATTATAAAGCTAAAGAAGAAAAAAAAAAGAACATATTAGTAAGAGAATGCCCTTACAATTTAGTAATATGTAATCAATGCATTGGATTTAACTAAAACCTTGTCTAGCTTTTAGTGAAAAGGAAACAATGATCACCATTTTTTTACATCAAACCTCTACCAAAATACACAAAAATTCATAGCTCTCCCAAAACCCTAAAAAGGAGGAGACCTTCCTGAAATATTTGAGCATCCAAAATGTGCCTTGAGTGCTCCAAGGCCTGGGGAAAACACCCAGGGGCCTTGTTTTCAAGTTTCTCTTATATTCTTCAGTTTGACTACCAAACTATCGTTAGTTGATAATTTTCTTATTATTTTCATATACTTGAGTCAAGATTTTTGCTTTTCATAATGGTTAAGTCATATTCATGCATATTCCATGATTTAGAGTAGTTTTAATCATTATTTTCTTACTTTTGCTACTTGTTTTGCATTGTACCATTAATTTTGATCACATGACATGATTATCATGCATCTAGGCCCAATATACCCATTGACTAGATATTCTCATTGTTGCATTTTGTGGTATTTGATTGTTTTAAATCTGAAAAGCCATGGTTTTATGCTCATATACCATGTTTAGCACCTACCGGGCTTTAGGAGTTCATTTCATGTGTTGTTGCATTAGTTTCATGCTTTAGGTCATATATATATATATATATATAATATGCTAACTTGGTTTTTGTGACTTTGGTGCCGAGGAGTACCTGATAAGTGCTCTTCCCTCATTTTGCATCTTTTTGTATGTATTTGTATTATTTCTTATTAGTAGCATGTTTTGAATATTTTATGTAAGGGGATAGGCTTCTTTCTAGTCCAAATCAGACTGGAGGATGTTATTGGGCCTCTATGAGCTCACCATAGAGCCCACATCGATGATTAGAACTATTCAATATGTAAAGTTCATCGATTATTTTATCCTTGCAAAAAATTATGTTAATCGGATATCGATAGTTACTTGATCAAATCACATTTGTGTGAACGGTAAGTACGAATTTTAAAATAAACTAGTGACACAAATATAATCTAATCACATGTTTATCGATATTTGATTAATGTGATTTTTTGAAAGTATGAAATACTTGACAAACCCTATATATTGACAGGTCGGATTATCGATGTGAGCTCTGTAGTGGGCCCACGGAGGCCCAACAATACCCTCTAGTTGGGAAACCCAATTGGAGAGAACCCTCTACCTTATGTAACATAATTGCTCTACACTATGAAACTCTATGTATTTGAAAGATTTTATTGCTAAGATTAGGTTGATTCCATTTTATTCAAATAAAATGTGTTTTGGAAATATTCGAGTTGTTGGTAAAATTTCCTTCTTCTTGGAAAGGTATCATTTTTTGTAATTTTCCAAGTTTTAGGGAACTTTCTTAAAAACAATTTTGGAAACAAAAAAGAGTCAAGATGGAAGCAATCAAATAAAAGTGATATAATTCTTTCTTTTGTGAGTTACATATGTAAGAGCAATCGACCTTCGGAGGAGGTGCAATTGGCTTACAACTTTCTTACTCCCTTGTTTTTCCATCTTATGTATAAAACCCATAAGATTATTGAAGATTCGGTCAAATAATAGTTTATTGAAGCCCACTTAGATCTATCATTTGGCGTGCATAGACCTTTTTATCATTTTTCCACATAGGCTAAGTTACCTAACAATCAATAATCAAACTCAAAACCGCTACTTGGTTTTAAGGTCCAAGAACGGTAAAATGACTCCATATATAAAGGTACTATCACCAGAGAACTCGATTCTGGGACTTAGGTATGAGATGGGAAGATTTTATGCATCCAGCTTGCCCGACTCAAGGTCGGCCTCTACTTATCATCTTGATAATTTTAAATTCAAAATTGGTAAGACTTATGCATGATGTGTGACCGGGTCTTTACTCTTCCTCCTTTTCTCTCCTCTCCACTTCGTTCTCTTTTGTTTCCGTTGGAATTGAAACATTCAGAAGTCATTCCAAATTGACGCTCTCATTCTTGTTTTTTTTGTCGGTGTTGAATTCCACCGATTTCGGGAGGTACAAGGTTAGGTCCGAAGTGCCCGGGAGCGAGACGGGATTTTTCTAGGCTGCTGGGCCAGGGCCACACGTGTGGGGGCCTAGGGCCACACGTGTGGGGGCCTAGGGCCACACGTGCGGGATGCCAAGCCGCACGTGCGGGAAGAAGGGAGCCCGAGGTTGTTGCATTCTGTTTAAATTGTAGGTGTGAAGGGGGAAGTGTGAGACTAGCCGCACATGCGGGGATCAGTGCCGCATGTGCAAGAGAGGGTAGCCGCACGTGCGGGGGCATGTGCCGTACGTGCGGAGCCGGACCAGTCCGAAAACCCTATTTTTTTTTACACTTTGGGCTGTTTATATCTCATTCTAAAATCCCTCCCTCTCTCTAAAACCATTTTCTCTCCTCCTTCTCTCTAGAAACCCTAGCCAAAGCATTAAAAACTCTTGAATCTTGCTATCCATTGGGCTTAGATCATCATCATCCTTCTCCAATCTTCAAGATAAAGATAGAATTTTACTTGGGTCGTAGAAGTTGAAGGATCTTCCATCAAAGCTTGGGTTTCATCATCTTCTTCATCAAGCTTGAGGTAGGGAATTCTTGAGTTATATATACAAGTTTTGTTTCCTAAATGTTGATTTTAAAACTTTCATGAGGTTGTGGTGTTAATATTGATCTTGCACTATATGAAGAGAGACAAAGGGGAGTTTTGAAAGAGGGGTTTTAAGTCTCAACTTATTTTTATCCATAAGGATGTTCTTTGTGCCAAATTAAGAAAAAATATGGCTTTGATTGAGTTTTACCATGAAATGGGAGGGTTGTAGGGTTTTTGATGAAAACCCTAGAAATTGGAGATTTTTTAAAACATGAGTAAAACTATGACATTCTTCTTCTTTCTTGTGTTTAAATATGTAAAAGAGTATGGATTTTCACAATGTGATATAATGGGAGGATGATTCTCTTGATATAAAAGGGTGGAGGACTTATTTCTAAACTATTCTTGAATGTAAGGAAATATTTAAGTGAAAGATGATAGTTGTGTGTTATGAATTGTGGAATTTAATGTTTGAAGAACATTACATGTAGCCTTGATGAGATTACCTTATCAAGTATGGTGAAAGGTGAAATGTGGTTAAGTGTAGATAGCAAATGGTTATCTTGGAAAGAGCATTGAAAAGAGGTAATGGGAAATATGATTGTTGGCATTATTGTAGAGACTTTGAGAAAGGAGGCATGTTATGAGATATGAGGAATCATCACATTCCATATTCATTTATGTTATTATAATTTTGCATTGTAAATTTCGATTAAAGATAATTGTTTTATGAAAGAACATAATAATGCAATGAGAACTATGGTAATGTAAAAGGGGTAAATATGTGGTAAGTCCAGATAGGGGGTGTAGTTGAATTTGATAAGTTAGCCTGAGTGTCCATGGTGAAAGACCAGAAAACGCGCGGGTAGGTGTCGAGCCTTCCGGTTAATACCGGTAAAAATGACATTTTGGTAGTACTCGTAGAGTCTACTTGCAGACACCAGCCTAGGGATTACTAGTGTCGTATTTACCGCCCCTATTGAATTAATATTAGAAGTTTGAAATTGATGAGATTACAAGATAATATTGAGAGCATGGTGATCTGAAATAGTGCATTGAAACGAATATTTTCCTCATTTATTAACTTGGCATGGCATTGCATATATGTTTATTTTTATGTTGAGAAAAGAGCATAACTGTATATACTTTGTGAGAATTTCTCTACTAGACTTTATGCTCAACCTTATGGGATTTGGTGCAAGTAAAAATGTGGTGATCCCGCCGAGTTGATGGCGTGGACGTGATTGTGAAGAGTGCTTGCTCTTATATTTTTATGTAAATTTTTGTAAAGCCAAGGGCTAATGTGTAGGGGTCCGAGAGACCATTTTGTGTAGCCAGGCTATTGCTTAGGACTTGTAAGCCCTTGAGGGCCTTATTCGTTTTGATTTGATGATTTTACATGCTATAGATTTATGTACTAGTTTATCAATGAATGTATAACCGCATGTGAGATTATTTTGTAAAACATTTGATCTAATGTAATGCGATTTGGTTAATATCTTATTTGGAAGTGGGTAGTTCATGTCGAATTATTTTGGGGCGTTACAACTTGGTATCAGAGCTACCGGGTTGGAATACTTGGGGCTCGCGGGAAGTGGTTGTTATACCGCAATGGGTTCATGTCATATGATTAGGAAATGTCTTGTTTATTTGTGACTATGTGATATCATGCTTATATGACTATGTGGGTATGGGATTAGACTTTTAGGATGTTATTTGCGCCTATTAGTTTCCTTGAAATCTTATTAGAAGGGTACTTGATCAATACTCATTCTACTAAGAATTCTTGGTTTCTCATGGGGTGAATCTCATCACTAAAGGATAATTCATATGTGTTTATGTGACTACTTGCTTATGTGGAGTGAATTAAATTGTTGTGTGATAGAGTATGTGTAAATCGTTATAGTTTAACGTGTGAGGCAAGTTACGAGCACATTTGGAATTATGTGCTAAATTATCTATCTTGTTCCTTAATTAGGATGTCAGGAAGAGTTCGAACTCGAGGAGGTAGGGGTGGAAGGCGAGGTCGAGGTCGTCGAGGTGTATATGAGGTACTGGTCCAAGAGGTCCCGGTATAAGAAGAAGGTTTACGCCAAGCTGACATGGCCGAACAAGTAGGGCAAGCGGAGATGCCGAGGCAAACTGGCCAAACCACAATGGGGGCTCTAGCCTGGGAGATGGCTGGGGCATTGAGGGAGTCCATGAACATTTTGAGAGCGGAAACCCATGCAAGGGAGAATGTTGCGGAGACTAGAGCTAGCTTCCTTACGAGGGAGTTTTTAAGGGCCAAGCCGGATGAATTCCATGGCAGCCCCGAGCCAAAGAAAGCAGACGAATCGTTTGAACAAACTGTAAAGACTTTTGAGATGCTTCATATAGAGGATAGTGAGTTGAAGGTGACCGTTGCTAGCTACTATCTCAAGGGTGACGTCGGCCAATGGTGAAAGTATGCCAAAGGCCGAATTGAACCAACATAGGAGGCGTTTGTGGTGGCCTTCCAGGACAAGTACCTACCTCCCACGGCTAGGGAGAGATTAAGGCAGGAATTCAAGGATCTTAAGCAACTTACCATGTCCGTGGCCGAGTTCGAGGCGGTCTTCTTTACTTTATCTCGGTTTGCACTGGAATTAGTAGCAACAGAGGAACGCCGTTGCATTGAGTTCGAGCAAAGATTGAGGACGAAAATCCTATTCAAGGTTGCCAAGGGCATGATCCGGAATTATGACCGTCTAGTGGAGGCAGCTGCACATGTGGAGATTACGATGGAGGCTGAAGATGAGAGACTTCGAAATTCGAGGTCTAGGGGCCATGGATCGCAGGGAGATTATAGGCCCAATAAGAAGAGTAAGAGCACCTTTTTATCCCAATCCCAGCCTAGCAGCAACAGTCTAGATCCACTTTTCCCTTGCCTAGTGCAGGCTCGGGAAGAGGTGCACCGAGTGGGTTTTCTTGCTTCAAGTGTGGCCAACCGGGTCACAAGGCCTTTGCGTGTCCACAGAAGGGAGGAGGGCAGTAGATATTGCCGCCACCACCACCTAATCGATCTCAGAGCCAGTCTCAGTCTCAGAGTAGAGGACAGGGGCCTACTTGCTTTCAGTGCGGTCAGTCAGGGCATATGAGGAGGCTTGCCC